CTATAAGATACCAAATCCACCAATTAATATAGAAATATAAATTAATCCGAAAAAAATCCACATAAACGTAAACGTAGAGTTTTATTTCTACACTCCACTGTATCTTTTTTATCTAGTGTTTTTGCTGTTGTTTGTTGATGCGTATTAAAGTCCTAGTATTGTGTAGTTCGTGTTTTTAAGAACGTTGTTGCGAATGCACTTTTGCGCATGTTTTTTTACATGTACGTTTGTGCATGTCCATTTGAGCGAGTGTCTTTGTGCTTGTTTGTTGATTTGTATTAATGTCCTAGGATTGTCGTTTGTGTTTTCATGATCCTTTTTGCGAATGCTCTTTTGCGTGAGTACTTTTGGGCATGCTTTTGTACTTTTACTTATGTGCGTATCTCTTCTAGCGAGTGTTTTTGTGCACGATTCTTGATGCGCATTTATGTCCTCGAAGTATAGTACGTATTTTCATGATCGCTTTTGGAATCCAATTTTGACCATGTTCGAGTCCGAATTTGGAATTTTGCCGTTAGACAGAAATTGTAGCTAGTTGAAATAGCTTTTTAATGCCGCCGGAACCAGTTGATTTGGAGTCTGGATGAGAAAGTTATGCTTGACTTCGTTGACACTACCCAAGATGTTCTGCGATTGTCTTTTCTAATTTGATTTTATTTTCCTAATTGCAACTCTTTTCTTACTCTTTGATCATTTTTCCTTCCTGGACACCTTATTTTCGATTTGTACCTATAAGATACCAAATCCACCAATTAATATAGAAATATAAATTAATCCGAAAAAAATCCACATAAACGTAAACGTAGAGTTTTATTTCTACACTCTTGTATCTTTTTTATCTAGTGTTTTTGCTGTTGTTTGTTGATGCGTATTAATGTCCTAGTATTGTGTAGTTCGTGTTTTTAAGAACGTTGTTGCGAATGCACTTTTGCGCATGTTTTTTTACATGTACGTTTGTGCATGTCCATTTGAGCGAGTGTCTTTGTGCATGTTTGTTGATTTGTATTAATGTCCTAGGATTGTCGTTTGTGTTTTCATGATCCTTTTTGCGAATGCTCTTTTGCGTGAGTACTTTTGGGCATGGTTTTGTACTTTTACTTATGTGCGTATCTCTTCTAGCGAGTGTTTTTGTGCACGTTTCTTGATGCGCATTTATGTCCTCGAAGTATAGTACGTATTTTCATGATCGCTTTTGGAATCCAATTTTGACCATGTTCGAGTCCGAATTTGGAATTTTGCCGTTAGACAGAAATTGTAGCTAGTTGAAATAGCTTTTTAATGCCGCCGGAACCAATTGATTTGGAGTTTGGATGAGAAAGTTATGCTTGACTTCGTTGACACTACCCAAGATGTTCGGCGATTGTCTCTTCTAATTTGATTTTATTTTCCTAATTGCAACTTTTTTCTTACTCTTTGATCATTTTTGCTTCCTGGAAACCAAATTTTCGATTTGTATCTATAAGATACCAAATCCACCAATTAAAATAGAATTATAAATTAATCCGAAAAAAATCCACGTAAACGTAAACGTAGAGTTTTATTTCTACACTCCACTTTATCTTTTTTATCTAGTGTTTTTGCTGTTGTTTATTGATGCATATTAAAGTCCTAGTATTGTGTAGTTCGTGTTTTTAAGAACGTTGTTGCGAATGCTCTTTTGCGCATGTTTTTTTTACGTGTACGTTTGTGCATGTCCATTTGAGCGAGTGTCTTTGTGCATGTTTGTTGATTTTTATTAATGTCCTAGGATTGTAGTTTGTGTTTTCATGATCCTTTTTGCGAATGCTCTTTTGCGTGAGTACTTTTGGGCATGCTTTTGTACTTTTACTTGTGTGCGTATCTCTTCTAGCGAGTGTTTTTGTGCACGTTTCTTGATACGCATTTATGTCCTCGAAGTATAGTACGTATTTTCAATGTCGCTTTTGGAATCCAATTTTGACCATGTTCGAGTCCGAATTTGGAATTTTGCCGTTAGCCAGAAATTGTAGCCAGTTGAAATAGCGTCTTAATGCCGCCGGAACTAGTTGATTTGGAGTCCAGATGAGAAAGTTATGCTCGACTTCGTGGACACTACCCAAGATGTTCGGCGATTGTCTCTTCTAATTTGATTTTATTTTCCTAATTGCAACTCTTTTCTTACTCTTTGATCATTTTTGCTTCCTGGACACCTTATTTTCGATTTGTACCTATAAGATACCAAATTCACCAATTAATATAGAAATATAAATTAATCCAAAAAAAAATCCACGTAAACGTAAACGTAGAGTTTTATTTCTACACTCCACTGTATCATTTTTATCTAGTGTTTTTGCTGTTGTTTATTGATGCGTATTAAAGTCCTTGTATTTTAGTTCGTGTTTTTAAGAACGTTGTTGCGAATGCACTTTTGCGCATGTTTGTTTACATGTACGTTTGTGCATGTGCATTTGAGCGAGTGTCTTTGTGCATGTTTGTTGATTTGTATTAATGTCCTAGGATTATAGTTTGTGTTTTCATGATCCTTTTTGCGAATGCACTTTTGTGTGAGTACTTTTTTGCATGCTTTTGTACTTTTACTTTTGTCTGTATCTGTTCTAGCGAGTGTTTTTGTGCACATTTCTTGATTGCGCATTCATCCATGAGCTTTGTCACTTCAATTGCAACCGATACAGGGATAGAATTGCAATATGTCAGGGTCCACTTTAGCTTGTAATCTTTCTTGGTTGTAATCAATCGGTACGAAGCTAAGATGGGATCTTCATCACCCGCTCCCTCAAATTGGTACACAAAAACCTCACGTCCGCGTATAACCTCTATTGCAAACACATTCATCTTCTCATCAACCTCTATTGATGCCTTCAAAGCCACGTCGGGAACAATGATAAGATCCTCAATTTGAATATTTGCACTAACCACTTCCATCTCCTTCTTCTCTTGTTCCGAGACATCTTTGTAGTTTAGCTCGATTGCATTCTCATATTCATCATCATTAAGCGTCTTCGTAATTTCTTTTTCCCTCTCATCGACACTATTTTCTAGGTCTAAAGGATTTTTCTCACTACAAGTTTAAGACATATTTCCTTTGTTGCAACCATTCTCGATATTGTCTGAAATATTTTCAGGAGACCTCTTGAGCTTCATCTCTTCCAACATTATTTCCAGTCTTCGAATAGATGCTAGAGTGGATTTCATAAAATCTTCAAGGATGGATTTCCTATAACACTCCTCAATAGTGGGTTCTCGTGGCCTTGCATAATAGGTTTGAAAATCATCAAATTGCGGCTCCCGATGTTGAAAATTATGGAAATCTTGGCTTGGAATGCTCTGCTCGTACGTGTTGGTGTATGTGTTCCAATAACAGCCGTTGGTGTTATCTATGAAATTATTCGCTTTCGGTGCATACCAACATTGGTTAGTGTAATGATCTCCACCACATATTGAACAAAGTGACGACATATCATAGGTATTTTGGAGGTATTCGCCAGACGGAAGCCATTCATATCCCGTTTGAGGTGCGCGAAAACTGTAACCTGACATGTCACCAAAGAAAAAAAAATATTAAAAAAAATTAAAACAAAAAGATAAAATTAAAAAAAAAATTGGGTGAATCGTGAAAATTGTTCAAATTTAGAGCTAGAATAAAATAAATAATTAAAATATTCCCCGGCAACGGCGCCAAAAACTTGTTGGCCGAAAACCTACACGCAAGTGCACGTATCGTACAAGTAATATAGTGGACTAAAAGTCTGGATATCGAACCCACAGGGAATATTTAATTACTTAATCATAGACGCTAAATCCTAGCAATTATTATCAAGCCCACCCTACACAGTCGAATTTAGAGAGAATTAACTAAATTAAACTCAATTAAAAAGCAAGCAAAAACAAGAAAACAATTTAAACACGAAGATTAATCAAAGTAGACAAGCCTAGGATTTTATTCTTCCCCCTATGTGATTATTACTCCCCCAATTCTTTCACTTATGCAAGCAATTAACCCGGATTATTAACCTGAGATGCTAAATTAATCATAACCCGCTTCCGCGTGTATTACGATTCTAATACTCTAGATTCAATTAGTATATTCCTATGCAATTAATTCTAGAACACAGCATTAAGCACAAATCTCAATAATGGCTACCTAAGAGATTAACTATATTCCTATGTTAATACCACAAAGGCTCTTCTACCACAATTCTAATTATTAATCCGATCTTCTGATTTATGCGATTAACAATAACATAAAAGCACATAAGGTGATCAAGTTCATGCACTTAATAAAACAAGTAGAAGAAATAATACGGAATTAAAACTTGCATAAAATCATAGAATTGGGTTCATAAATCCCACATAGGGTTCCAAATAAAATCCTAGAAACTAAAGACTTAGCGACTCGTGATTCTTATGATAAAGAAAATAAAAGAAATAAATTAAATAAGAAAAACTATGCTTGAGTCTTCGTTGATCTTCGTTCCTCGCGTTTTGTGGTGTATATTTTCGTCCTTATGGTGTAGCTACTTGTTGCTTTTATATGCTTTTCTTGATAAGGAAGTAGTCGAAACCTAATAGGAATCAATTTCGGCCACTTTCCCCCATCAGAATTTGTTCTTCGATTTTCGCCATGTTTGAATTCGAATTTTGGAATATTGTGTAAATAAGAATTGTAGGGCTTTTGCGAACCTAGACCAGGTTATATTCACCAGCCTCCCTACATGATGACACGTGTATTATTGATTTTTTATTTAATTAGTGTTTTTCTTTTTCTTTTTTCTAAATATATTATTTCTTAAACCAGAGTTAACAAAATCCCACTAACTTAGGTAATAAAGATATTTTTCTTTTCCACAACCACGTCTTTTCGACTTCTCTTCTACACGTTCTGTATATGTTCTTCAACAAAATATTCATCTTTGTAATTTGAAGATTTTTTTTTCTACAGGTATGCATCGATGTAACACATGAAATTAGTAGTGATAACTATTTTTAGTTGTTTTACTTTTTTATGTTTACCACATGCAGATATGGAAGCAGATCCATTACCGAGTGCTAATAACACGAATTGCGAGTCAGAGGAATGTATATCAGTACAATCATTAGAGTCAGAGGTACCTAAGTCCTTAGTTGAAGAATTTGAGCAGAAGTTACAGGTTGGTCAAAAAATTACCAGTCTTGAAGATGCATATTTATTATACTGTGAGTATGGACGTATTAAAGGTTTTAGTGTGAGAAAAGGAAAACAATCATATTTTCACGACAATAGCAACGAACTTTATATGATGGAATTTGAATGTTCCTGTAAAGGAACAAAAGATGAAAAATGTAGTTCTAATGGTAAACAGTCAGCCTACTTGAAGATGGAAACTAGATTTGGTTGTGCTGCAAGACTTAGAATTGGAAGGAAAAAAAATGAAGAATGGAAAGTGACTATTTTTTATATTGATCATAACCATGACATGGTTGCACCTGATCAAAGTTATATGTTACGATCAGCTCGTAGCATTTCATATGCTAAAGGAAATACCTTAAAAGCATTGGTAGATGCTGGATTTTCGATAGCTAATGTGTATTCTTACATGCAAATAGAATCGCACGGGAGAGAAAATGTGGGGTTTCTTAAAAAGGATGCATATGACTATCTTAATCGATTAGCTAAAGATCACAGACATGTTGAAGATGGTGATGCTGCTGAATTGATCCGATATTTTAAAAATAAGTCGAACGAGGATGGGTTGTTCTATTGGGATTTTCAAGTTGATGAAAATAATCGAATGTGTAATTTTTTTTACAGAGATGGTCGATGTCGGGTTGATTATGAGGCTTTTGGTGATGTTCTTTCAATTGATACAACCTATAAAACAAATAAGTACAATTTGGTGTGTGCACCTTTCACCGGCCTTAATCACCATAAGAACAATGTGATGTTCGGGTTGGCTTTTATGTCACGTGAAACAGAGGCCTCTTTTCAATGGTTATTTAATACTTTTCTTGAGTCTATGGGCAGTAAACAACCCGAAACAATTTTCACCGACCAATGCCAGGCAATGATGAATGCCATTGAAACTATATTTCCAAATTCCCACCATCGATTGTGCCAATGGCATATCTATCAAAATGCTCCCTCACATTTTGGTAGTTTGAATAATAATTCAGAGTTTAAGAAGATGTTCCACAAGTGCATGGAATATTGTGAAACCGAAGAAGAGTTTGAGAATATATGGAGTACGATGATTGATGCTTTTAATCTTTATGAGCATTCTTGGTTGAATAATATGTACAAGTTGAGAAGTAAGTGGTCAACCGCTTTTAGTAAACATAGATTCACGGCGGGGCTTAAAGCTACATCAAGAAGTGAAGCCACAAACTCTAGTTTAAAAATCGGTGGCAAAAGGACACATACTTTGTTTGATTGTGTTATGAGATTTGAAGACGTGCAAAATAAATGGCGCCAAGATGAAAAAGAGAACGACTTTAAATGTCGTCATGGGATGCCTACACTTGTCGTGAAAACCAACTGCTTGTTGAGAGATGCCGCTGTTGTTTATACTCACACAATATATGACATGTTTCAATCAGAGTTGATCAATTCATTGGGCATTGATTTTGATGGAGAGCCTTCATATAATGATCATTTATTCAAGTTTAAAATAAAGTCTCAAGGTAATTCAAATCGAGTTCGAGAAGTTGAGTTCAATTCGAGATCGCTTGAGGTAAAATGCACATGTAAGTTATTTGAGTCTGTTGGTATATTATGCAAGCATGCATTGTTGGTTTTCAAACAAATGAATGTGCATAATATACCAAAAAATTACATAAAAGTGAGATGGATGAAAAGTATAAGGGATAGAGTGCAATTTAGTGAAGAAAGTTCATGTGCAGATAACCAAGAATCTCAGACGGTCTATGTGAATCATGCAATGCGATACTGTTATGATCTTACGATGCGAAGTAAAGTCCATCCAGAAGCTAGAAATTTGGTGAGAAACGGGCTTAAGGGTGTTCTTTCAGATCTAAATGCGTTACTCGATAAATTGAGTCTGGATCATTTATCCGAGGGTTCCAAAGTTACAAGTTTGGAGGTTATGGAAGAACATGATATGAATGACGAGTTTGTGCGGAATCCTCTTTACGTGAAGTCGAGAGGGGTCAATAATGTTCGCTTACCAAGCCATTGGGATTCAAAAAATAAAAAAGGAAAAAGAAAGATTGAATGTTCAAGTAGGTTTTTCAAATATATTTACACAATACTCTCACTTTGCTTTATTAACAATTTCTGATGGTTTTTTTTTTTTTCTGATTTACTAGAGAAAATAACAAAAGGCGCAGGAAAAAAAGTGCAGACACAAATACATTCAAATGTTCTTTCATCGAAAGAAGCTATTGGTGTTCTTTCCTCACAAGAAGCTATCAGTGTGCAATCCTTACAAAACGCTAATGTTCGTCATGTTCAAAATATCTCAATTGGCTCTCAATTTGGTGAACATCAAGCTAATTTGTTGCATCAGATATCATATCCGACAATGCACCACCCGGTGAGTTACTTGTTCTCCAACTTATGTAAATATATTTGACCTTCTCTAATGCTTTACACATTTCGGCATCCAGGGACAAGGCTCAAATTATCCAAACATGTTCCAATATTGGGATCCCTATTCGTCACAGGTTGCATTTCATAATTTTACTAATTCTATATTCTTGTGTAATTGTTGAGTTATTTTCTATGCATGTTTCACTTTGCTTATCAACTGTGTTTGACTTGTACAGGGATCTATTAACAATAAAGAGAGGCCACCTGAATTTCATTAGGATATTTCCTTGTTCTATATTTTAAGTTAAATTCAATAGTTGGTTTTAGTTTGAGGAATTTATATTTCACTAGGATTTTCTTGTTTTGGTTTTTTATTTAAATTCAGTTGTTGGTTTTAGTTTGAGGATTTTCAATTTGACTATGATATTTTCTTATTCTCGTTTTATAGTTAAACTCAGTAGTTGGCTTTAGTTTGAGGATTTTCAATTGACCATAACTACAGTTTTTCTCGTGTTTTCTTCAACTTATAAAGCTATATATGAATGATACCGATTATTCCAGTCAAGAAATTTCTGTAATGTTTGTGACTGAAGTTAAAATCTAAAGGTAAAATAGTTGAATTACATGTAAAAGAAGAAACCCAAAAAAAAAAAAAAAAAAATCCGGCCTAGTGTCAACTCCTACCGCCAGCATGACCAAAAGTTTCATCTGTCAACAAAGCTCTCTCCTTGTTTACTGAAAGGCACCATAGTGAATTTTGTTCTATAGAAAATTCCTAGTGAGTTTGCCTTCATTCAAAGTTCTTTTTACAATTCCGGTTTGCTCTCCACTTGCTTGCTAATCAGTAGCCTGCCTCCGTTATCAAATTTCCTAAACGCGTTTCCGCGATACCAAGCTACCAAACCCAGCAATTTGCACACATCTCAGTAATAAATCAAAATTAGCCAAAATTAAAATAGAGCAGTGAAAAAGAAGCTCAACTTTATACTCTTCCTCTTAACTATTAGTCTACGATTTCACTCAAGTTGGCTTAATATTAAACAAAATGACAAAATTTCATCAAGGTTTTCCTTTTACTGAACCTATAAACCATTTTTTAACAAGAAGATCTAAATGGGCACTGTTTAAGATATTTTTTTTTGTCTCACCATTAACAACTCATCTAACTACAAATATTTGTAAATAAAGATGTTTCTATCTTTCTTTGATACCGTAGAATGATCAGTCACAGATAATCACACAAAGCACGACAAAAACAGAAGCAGGTAAAAAATAGAGAAAACCACCGCCTGACGACGTCGCACTACCTCCTGAGCCGCCACCAGACCCTTCGTGTTCGTGCTCGGCAACGTCGGCGTATTAAAAACCCATATTATACACCGGCGAGTACCGCTCTCATCGGCCTGATCAAGTTCCCTGTATACTACATCTCTTCCCCCGATGTTGCTCTCATCGGCCGGATCTGCAAAGATAATTTCTCAGAAATATTGTTGTGTTGTCGGAATAGAATGTTAGCAGAAGAGAGCTCCGTTGTGTTGTCGGAATTGAATAATAGCAGAAGAGAGAGAAGGACCAATTTTTTACCATGGATCGGAATTGAATAATAGGAGAAGAGAGAGAAAGGTCAATTTTTAACCATGGTTTAACAAATATTATATTAAAAAGTAAAGATGAAAAAGGCAAAACAAAATTAATTAAAAATTGAGTAAAGGACACGCGTCAACAACAGACCCACCCGGTGATTATCACCGGGTGTAGGGTCGAAATAGCCGAATTGTAGCCCTTGAAATTAGCTTTCCAATGTCGCCAAAATCAGCTGATTTGGAGTTCTGCTGAGAGAGATATGTTTGAAATGGTGGACACTGCCAAAGCTGTGGCGAGATTCTTTCTTCCAATTTGATTTATTTACTTATTTGCAACTTTTTCCTTCCTTTTTGATCTATTTTCCTTCATGAACACCTAATTCTTGTTTTTCACCTATAAAACACAAAATCAATCAATTAAAGCACAAATATAATTAAATCTTAACAAAAGATCCACGTAAAGTAAGCGTATTAAGCGTAAAATCTACACTCAACACTGATATAGCTTTTTAATGCCGCCGGAACCAGTTGATTTGGATTCTGCATGAGAAAATTATGCTCGACTTCGTGGACACTACCCAAGATGTTGGGCGATTGTCTCTTCTAGTTTGATTTTATTTTCCGAATTGCAACTCTTTTCTTACTCATTGGTCATTTTTGCTTCCTGGACACCTAATTTTCGATTTGTACCTATAAGATACCAAATCCACCAATTAATATAGAAATATAAATTAATCCGAAAAAAATCCATGTAAACGTAAACGTAGAGTTTGATTTCTACACTCCACTGTATCTTTTTTATCTAGTGTTTTTGCTGTTGTTTGCTGATGCGTATTAAAGTCCAAGTATTGTGTAGTTCGTGTTTTTAAGAACGTTGTTGCGAATACACTTTTGCGCATGATTTTTTACATGTACGTTTGTGCATGTCCATTTGAGCGAGTGTCTTTGTGCATGTTTGTTGATTTGTATTAATGTCCTAGGATTGTAGTTTGTGTTTTGATGATCCTTTTTGCGAATGCACTTTTGCGTGAGTACTTTTGTGCATGCTTTTGTACTTTTACTTGTGCTCGTATCTGTTCTAGCGAGTGTTTTTGTGCAAGTTTCTTGATGCGCATTCATTTCCTCGAACTGTAGTACGTATTTTCATGATCGCTTTTGGAATCCTATTTTGACCTTGTTCGAGTCCGAATTTTGAATTTTGCCGTTAGACAAAAATAGTAGCAGCTGAAATAGCTTTCCAACGCCGTTGGAACCGGTTGAATTCGAGTCCGGATGAGAAAGTTATGCTCGACTTCGTGGACACTACCAAAGATGTACGGGGATTATCTCTTCTAATTTGTATTTATTTTCCAAATTGCAACTTTTTTCTTACTCTTTGATCATTTTTGCTTCCTAGACACCTAATTTTCGACTTGTACCTATAAGATACCAAATCCACCAATGAATATAGAAATATAAATTAATCCAAAAAAAAATCCACGTAAATGTAAACGTAGAGTTTTATTTCTACACTCCACTGTATCTTTTTTTATCTAGTGTTTTTGTTGTTGTTTGTTGATGCGTATTAAAGTCCTAGTATTCTAGTTCGTGTTTTTAAGAACGTTGTTGCGAATGCACTTTTGCGCATGTTTGTTTACATGTACATTTTTGCATGTCCATTTGAGCGAGTGTCTTTGTGCATGTTTATTGATTTGTATTAATGTCCTAGAATTGTAGTTTGTGTTTTCGTGATCCTTTTGCACTTTTGCGTGAGTACTTTTGTGCATGGTTCTGTACTTTTACTTGTGTCCGCATCTTTTCTAGCGAGTGTTTTTGTGCACGTTTCTTGATGCGCATTCATGTCCTCGAACTGTAGTACGTATTTTGATGATCGCTTTTGGAATCCAATTTTGACAATGTTCGTGTCCGAATTTGGAATTTTGCCGTTAGACAGAAATTGTAGCCAGCTGATATAGCTTTTTAATGCCGCCGGAACCAGTTGATTTGGATTCTGCATGAGAAAATTATGCTCGACTTCATGGACACTACCCAAGATGTTGGGCGATTGTCTCTTCTAGTTTGATTTTATTTTCCGAATTGCAACTCTTTTCTTACTCATTGATCATTTTTGCTTCCTGGACACCTAATTTTCGATTTGTACCTATAAGATACCAAATCCACCAATTAATATAAAAATATAAATTAATCCGAAAAAAATCCATATAAACGTAAACGTAGAGTTTGATTTCTACACTCCACTGTATCTTTTTTATCTAGTGTTTTTGCTGTTGTTTGCTGATGCGTATTAATGTCTTAGTATTGTGTAGTTCGTGTTTTTAAGAACGTTGTTGCGAATACACTTTTGCGCATGATTTTTTACATGTACGTTTGTGCATGTCCATTTGAGCAAGTGTCTTTGTGCATGTTTGTTGATTTGTATTAATGTCCTAGGATTGTAGTTTGTGTTTTCATGATCCTTTTTGCGAATGCACTTTTGCGTGAGTACTTTTGTGCTTGCTTTTGTACTTTTACTTGTGTCCGTATCTGTTCTAGCGAGTGTTTTTGTGCACGTTTCTTGATGCGCATTCATTTCCTCGAACTGTAGTACGTATTTTGATGATCGCTTTTGGAATCCAATTTTGACCATGTTCGAGTCCGAATTTTGAATTTTGCCGTTAGACAATAGTTGTAGCCTGCTGAAAAAGCTTTTTAGTGCCGCCGGATGCAGTTGATTTGGAGTCCGGATGAGGAAGTAATGCTGGACATCGTGGACACTACCCAAGATGTTCGGCGATTGTCTCTTCTAATTTGATTTTATTTTCCTAATTGCAACTCATTTCTTACTCTTTGATCATTTTTGCAAAAATCAAATAGGTACAAATCATTTCTTACTCTTTGATCATTTTCGCTCGAATCCCCTACTACAATGCACAAACTTCACACTAGATTTCGGACTGCACGAACGTTGGCCCTTGGAGCGGTCCGCGGTGGGACTCAGGGACAGGTCACGATACATTCGGTCGTCTAGTGAAGTCACGGTGATGTCTGGGTCTTAAGGACTAATGGTGCACAACTATATCATAGAAACCGATTACTCGATGATTGGGAACCACTTATAGATTTCTAGGCGAGGGAGTTCCGTGAACTCATCTAATATGAGCACCTACTCAAGTATGCCGATGTCACAACACCGATGACTGATGAGACGCAGTACACATACACTAAGTGCTAGTCTCAAAAGGGAAAGGCCGGTATCCTCATTATTGGCATAACCCATCGACTAGGAACAAGGTTTAACAGTTACATTACATTGCTGAGTTATCTCACGATTCTACTAGATCAACTCACAGTAATAGAGTAACTCGTTAGGACTATATCTATGCTACTTGCATGGGATAAGAGATATAAAATGCGAAGAGGTATTTTATCATTAATTTGAAATAGATTATTTACGAGTAGCGTGAGAAAACACAACACTTAGTTGGCTTATTGGTCACATACTCTAACACTTTTGGGCATGCTTTTGTACTTTTACTTATGTGCGTATCTCTTCTAGCGAGTGTTTTTGTGCACGTTTCTTGATGCGCATTTATGTCCTCGAAGTATAGTACAAATTTTCATGATCGCTTTTGGAATCCAATTTTGACCATGTTCGAGTTCGAATTTGGAATTTTGCCCTTAGACAGAAATTGTAGCCAGCTGAAATAGCTTTTTAA